GCCATGTCTCTCATGTCAAAAAAAAAGGAGTCTAGGGGTTTAGGGGTTTAGGGTTTAAGGGTTTCGGGGTTGAGGGGTTTAGGGGTTTCGGGTGTTTAGGGTGTTTAGGGTGTTTAGGGTGTTTAGGGTGTTTAGGGGTTTGGGGTTTTGGGGCTCTGGAGTGGAGTCTTTGTAGCTGCTCTCTATGCACACAGTCTGAGTGTAGCACTGAGAGGTGCAGCTGGGTTGTGCGAAGCTTTGGGCGCGTGGGAATTGGAATGGGTCGCACAGGACATGCGCTTCTATGCCAAGATGGCTGCGTGGCCTCCTCCTTGGGTGTCAGCGTTTGTGTCAAGGTTTCGGGCACTTGTGCCGCTTCTGCCTGACAAGACCAAGGCTTGTGTCCCTTTTCCTTCTGTCGCTGTACCTTTCCCTAGGCTGGCTGTATTTGCCTTCAAGAGCCCTTTGCAGTGCCTCCACTCAGCTCCACCATCTTGCAAAAGGCTGCGCCTCTACGACAGCCCACATGGTGGGTGCAGCGGCCGGGAACCTAGAATCTGATCTTCGCAACAGGTGCGGTTGCAGCTTTTTCAAGGCTGGGTATCTCGTGCTTGAAACATGTACAATGTAGACTTTCTCAGCCGTTGAGGCCACATCCATGGCCTTAAGGGACGCCTAGGTTTGCTGCCTCTGCTTACAACTTCATACTGTCCTCTCTCGAGGTTATGGGCCTGTTCTGGCAACAACTGGCTGGAATAGGCCACGACATGGGCCACAGCGGTATCACTCACAAATTTCACTTGGAACCTTGGCTTCAGCAGATAGGTCAGCGATCTGCTTGACAGCGTGAGGGCCGAGCTTTGTGTTGAATGCCGAAAGTGAGACAAAGAAGCAAAGCGAATAGCTTAACGGCTTTCAGAATCTCTCCATGCTCCGAACCGGACGCTTCTCTTTCTGGGTGCAAAACGTCTTCCGATCGGCCACTGAGGACCACTCAGTTTGCTCCACACTCGTGTGCTTCATGGGCATCTCCGTGTGCTGGTGGAAGCGGAACCACAACACACACCACATAGTCTGCAATTCCATCGAGTGCCTTGCATGAACTTCGTGTGCTTGAAGGATGTCTGATGTGTTCTGGTTGTCATCCTTGTCATAGGTTGTGTGAATCTCAGGCACGATCCTGACATTCAGCACATGCCGGCGTTGGCTGTTACGCCAGAGATCTTCAAGAAGCCGTTACTCTTCCGTCGCAAGCTAGTGTCCTTTGCAGATTTGCGACGCTCTAGAGTAGTAGCCCCGTTTCTGTTCCCATCGTAGAGCTTTGAATGATTTCCATCATACAGCTTGGAAGAATGATGAACGCCCAAAAGGAGCGTCGAATACGGAACCTGGGCAAGTCTGGAGTTCGCAAGCCGATTATCCGATTGCCAATATAGTGCTAGTTGCTAGTACTCTGAAAGTAAGCTTATACTTTGTAGTCTATGCATTGGATATTGAGATACTCTTGACTCTTGCTAAAGTGTGTTGCGCTAGGTTCTGGAGCACGTACTACAACGAGCTCAAAGCCATGGACCGCATCACCAAGTTCATGGTCAGCTACGAGCATCTCTTTTTCTACCCGAATCTCTGCTTGATTGTATTCGCTACAGCCTAGCAGAGTAAATGGCTCGAAGCCGACCACGCTTGCTGCAAAGACCACGAATTGTCATCATTTTATCCCCCATCGAGACCCCGGGCTTGCAAGCTCCAACCAAGACGCCCAAGACCTTGGAAGAACTCCTTCGCTTGAATGGCCCACTTGCAAGGATCATGATGGTCGCAAGATTCAATCTATATGCACAGTCTCTCATCCAGCTCTGCGCGAAGGATGCCGTCTTGGGCTTGCTGGTTGGCCAAAACAATCCCGTGTCAGTTACACGGTGAGTCGAATTGAGGGTCTGTGACACATGAAGCTGCTCTTCTGCTGTCTTGAGGAGCCCCTGCACTATAGCTTCCTGGATGCCTTAGTCTGTCATGCGGGTATGACTGCCTCATATGTACTTTCTTTCTCCCATATTGCTGTCTCTGTTTCTTTGGGAGAGGCACGTTGGGTCTTTGGCCAGAGTGTGTGAACTGTGGGCTCAGTCGCAATTTGAGCAAGTCCCTGCTTGACCCGGGGATCGCCGGCAACGGACCACGGGTCATCCCCGGGCAAGGCACGACTTCTGAACATAGCGGCTGCACTGTGCAGCCCGAACTGTCAGAAGCATTGACTGCAAAGAGGTGAAGAGAGGCTGTCAACGGAAAGTTCAACACTGCAAACTGGCGAATCTGAGGGGACTGCAAGAATCAGCTGTGCTGCTGTATTGCTTGCCGAGTCTCGCAAAACAAGTTTGAAAAGCTCTTCAAAGACCCAGGGTTCCGCCCACATACGCTTGTGCTTTCCGACAGTTGTTCTTCACAAGCTGGGGAAGCCACCACCTTGTGTTGCAATGTATCATAATCATTAATTACTCTGTCGGTGCTGTGTGCGTGTTTCTGTGTACATGTCCTACATGCACAGAGCCCTACAACATTCTAAGGTATCGAGTTTTGCTTCGAAAGTTTCATAATTGTCAGAAGCACCCTCCGAGGAAAGACGGAGCTGTGCGCCTTTGCCATCTACTTCACCTGGATAGGAAGCCTCGTCCTGTCCTTGCCGACCTGGTCCGAGACGTACCTGGCCATTGTTTAGGGGTACAGGTTTAGGGCCTAGTTTAGGGTTTAGGGTTTCGGGTTAGAATTTATGATGCGTGGTTCGATTTCGAACCAGGAACCCGAAACTCAACGGCCCAGGACTAGGCTGCAGTCACGGCTGGTCTGTAACCCTCACACCTCAAGCTCTAGCGCAGGGGGTCTGCCTGGGGGGCTCTCCGGCTCCGGGGTTACGGTTTAGGGTTTAGGGTTACGATCTCATCACACTGGCAGTTTGCTGAATTTGATAAGGATCATCGTGTTCATTTGCACGGATCGTCATCGTGAAAGAGGTTGAAAATAGTCAACTCTCGAGATCGAACTTTGCCCCTCAGGCAAAACCTCGGACATGACTTTGACCCTCAAAGTCCAGACGACATCTCAAACTCAAGCAAGGTGGGGATGGCTCCTTGTGAGCCATGCTATGTCCGGCTTGCTGCATGTCGCTGCCCCAGTCGTCCTACTCGGCAGCGGATGATCCGAGTTTGAGTCAGGGGGTTTGCCCAGCAAATGCAGTTGTGTTTTTGGAAGTGTCCATTGAGGTTCAGATTTGCTGCTCGCACTTCTCCATGGAAACGTACCACGGCCATGCCCGATGCTCAGCGCCGCAGGACTCTTTCAATTCTGCGTGGGCTTTGCTGCATCCGGTGTGGCCTGCTGCTGTCATGCGCTTTTTCAAGACGACTGCGAGAATTGAATGCTGAGTGAGGCCTACAATGACGCAGACGATGAGTGGTACATTACACAGCTTAAGACCACCATGAACTTCGACACACCACCGGCGCCACTCTGCGGCATCGCGGTTACTTTGGGAGCTTCTCTGACTGGAATACGTTTTTCTGTAGCGATGCTCTTTTGGAGGCTGGACTGGGTGCACATCGGCCTCCAGTTTCAGATTGAGCATCATCTTTTTCCCCGTCTTCCTCGTCACAACCTCCGCCCCTTGGATCCAACTGAAACCTCAGTCCTTCATGACTCAGTATGGTTAGGGATTTCTGTTGCTACTGCGACCTTCGACCGTTGACTTGCGAGCAGCGACGACGACGACGACGACGACGACGACGACGACTACGGCGACCACTCATGCCGCTACCAAGGGCTTTCTCAGACACTGCATCTTCTGTTCGAAGTCCTTCTCAGACCCGAATCCAAGCGCAGTAAAGGCGAAGCCCGGACGCTTGTGAAGGAGGTGTGCAAGAAGCACAACATTCGCTACCACGAGCCAGGTTTCTTCCAGGCCCTGGCAACCATGCTGTCAGTCCTACTGGAGTCAGAGATAGCCGCAATAAAGCCGCCTTGAGGTGGTAAGAGAGTCGGAGTATGCATAGTATTGCATCGTCCTTCAATTGCCAAGCAGGCAAACCTGGAGACTCTGCAGTGCCTGTGGCGCACGGCGAAGGCTCGGCAGATCGGTTCCCTCAGAGCTGAGATCTTTGCGAGATCCTGCAAGGCCGCGCGCAGCGCAAAGCGCGGAGACAGCGGCTTCTACGAGAGCTGCCTGTGGGACGGCCTAACGTTGAACGGCTGATGCAGGGTTGCTGAACAGGCACCTGCACGGAAGAGAGCAGCGAGTTTTGACTTCGAGCCTTGCCACCTGCAGGCTGCAAGTCCGCTGCGCGAGGGTGCAGAGCTTTTGCCATGCGGCGGGATCCGAAGGACTCCTTGATGACAGATTATGTGCATCTATGCAACCACGCAGTGGAAGGACCGGAGCTGCCACAGACCAGCACACGTTCCGACGCCCGCCTCATGAGAGCAAGTCAGGGAAAAGGAGCATTGTGATTCCCACAGCCCCAACTCGGCCCAGCGCTGAGAGTCTCAGCTTCAAGAAGCACTTGGGTCTCCCCCCCCCGTGAGATGTCGACTTCCCCCGGGTTCTTTGCCAGGCTGCGCTTTGAGCCTAAGATCAGCCATGCCCGAAGTAGTTCAATCGGTTTCCTCACAACAACTCCTTAGTTCAGGATTCGAGTGTGAGAATCTGGTACCGTATTTAGTCTCCCAGACTTTACTGGTCTCTTTGTGGCTGGTGGAGATCCAGGCCTTCGAAACTGCTGCAGGGTTTTGCTTCTCCTTTATTCGGTTCAGGCTTTCAAGTACCGCCGTTGATGAAGGGAGCATAGCATCTTACAGCGTGGACCGCTCGCCGAGCCTTGGTTGGGCAGTTGACCACCTGCTTGTTCAGGCTCAGCTGAGAACTGGATCAAGCCCACGCAGGCAAACAGAAGCTGGCATGGAGGAGCATTCGCTCACATAGCTGCTGCAAGTAGGCAAAGGTCTTAAAGAACAACTCATACCCTCCTTGATCGCCCATTCAGCTTGCACATAGCTGTAGCAGCCAATATCTATGTCTAGCATAAAGGACAGATTGACATCCCAGTACAATCAGCTCGAGTTTAGGTTTAGGTTGTGCAAGCCCGACAGACCTCATAACGCTCCGACTGAGCCTTGCGAAGTGCGAAGCAGCCGTGTCCATTGTTTTGGGAGCCGACCGGTGCCGTGGCGGGCTGTGCCTGGCGCCTGTCTCCTGAGCTTTGTAGCAACAGCAATATTGGAGAGGAGTAGTAGGTAGCGGTGGTGCTGCTTGTCAAGTTGGGATGTATGCGTAGACCGAGCAGCCGCTCAGATTGCCTGCGAAGTATGGAAGTTCTCAGAAAGCTGACGATCTTCAGAGCGAGTCATGGCAGCTTTCTCCAACCCCGAAGGCTGAACATCGCGAACCCTGAAACACCCCAAAAAGGTAGCGGCTTCCCCCCAACCCCAAGACGGAAGGCCAGAAGTAAATCACTTCCGAAGCTCCTTAAAACGCCTTTCAGCACCTTAAAGAGGCAAAGTCACACAGAACAACCCCAAACACTTCCTGTTCCCAGCTGTGTGCCCTTCTCCATGTCTGGGGCTTGCGGTGGCAAGGCTCGTCCGCCCCGCCAGGCAGCAATGTACGTGCGCGGCTCGTTTTTTTGAGTTTTGTCGGGGTTCAAGTATTCGGGGGAAGACTTCGACAGCGAACTTCGATGCAGTGCGGCTCATGCAGGGACCACAAAGTGCTCAGGCCAGGATAGCCCGACGCGTGACGCCTGGTTTTTACGATTGTTGTCCGCAAGGTTCACATGATCCTGGCAAGGCAAACCTCACAGAAATCTGGCGCAGAACATCCCAATCTGTTTCAGGACTGGGAGCAATTGTATCGTGCTTTCAGACACACTGAACCCGAAAGCCCAAACCCAAACACAACAATCCTTAAGCCTTATACTGTACATGATGGCAATGGAACCTTATCTGCCGGAGCTGGTGCCATTGCTGCTGCCGCCCCCCGAGCCCAGTGTGCAGCCTCTGCATTGCCCTCACGGCTTCTGGAACGCTCCGGGCTCCAAAGGAGACAGTTTTGCATTCTTAAGGATCAGTGTTCCCGCTGTTGTAATTGTCTTGTGGACGTCTTAGTCAGTGTGGTTTTGAGTTCTTGATTTGGAATCTATTTCGTGTCGTTTCAAGTGCTATTTTTCGCACTGGTAGCATTCTGCCATGCTGTTGTGGTTTATGTTGTGTTAGCTCATGTTGTGTTGCACGGCATTACAAATTTATGGCTTGTTTACTGCTAAGCACATTCGTTGTCAAGTATTACCATACACATACTGTGTGGCATTATCTTGTTGTGTTGTACTTTTTCTGATACACTGCTGAACTGGTACACCTGTTCATCACATCACATGTGTGTGCAGTGTGGTCATGATTGCTATCCTGATCATGGCCGTTGTCGGTGTCTTATTACCAGTACCAAGCCTAGCATCGAAATTATCATCGTTGTCGCTGTCACTGTGACAATTGTTGCCAAGAAGTCTAATGTACAGGTGGCCTTGTTCGGGCTTGTTGCGGTCAGAAGCCCATTAGCCACACAGCTCCCTGCACGGTGAAGAGCTGTTCAGCTTCCGACCCCAAAACCCGCCTAACAGGTTTTATTACGTGGAAACAACACTACAGAATCCCATGTTCCCGACCCGAATCCTACTCAGCGCCTGAGTTGGGATCGAAGCACGCGCCCGCGAAGGCCGCAGGAGCCAAGAGCCCTCGACCCACCAAAGCACCACTGAATTCCTAAACTCGGGGCGGTGCAGTTTCTTCATGGGCTCTCGGGCCGGTAAGATGGCAGGGCCAGGGCGAATATATTATGTTCTGTTATGTTATATTATGTTATATTATATTATATTATATTAATATATCATATCATATATGACATTGCATAGGATCCAGGCCTTGTTGGGTCCTTGCTTGTCGACGTCCGGCGCAGGCGATGGGGCCCTCGCGCCCTGGCCAGGATCGGAGCTCTTCTGGCGCCAGATCTTGTCCTCGGTCCTGGGAAGTGGCCCGGCCCAAGAAGGACCGGGTGCTTGTATGGCTTTTTGAGGTCGTTGGAGAGAGCAAGAAATCTCGGTTTAGGGGTCCTGGACCCGTAAACGAGCAATTCGAGTCCGAACTCAAGAACTAGACATGCCGGGCCCTTTGCAGACACCAGGCACCTTGCACACATGTGACCTACTCGTAGGACCACTCGCTGCAGCGACGGTGGTGATGGTTATCGTAGGAGTCGTTCTTGTGTGCTGGCCTCTTCCTCCATGCCAGACGTGCTTGCATCTTAATCATACCTGCTTAAGCAGGAACAATCGTGAAAGGGCTCCGCTGCACGTGTGTGTGTGTGTGTGGGGTGGCAGTTGGCCTAGTGCGACATTCAAGACTCGTCCTTGTCACGAAACTTTGGAGTAAATGGCTCAATGCTGGCCTCCTATCTCCACGCAGTGCGCACGCTGGCCAAACACATCTCTTTCCAGTGCCGTGCGCTAGCCGAGGCATGGATTTCGCCCGTCAGGGTGACACCAACGAAGCATGGCTTACAAGTCTGTGCTAAGAGTTTTGTCAGCTCGTACAGCTCTGTCCTGAAGGAGCCCCATGTGTCTCCCCAGGTCGTGTGCGAAGCTTCACAGAGCCACCGGCCTCCACTTGCAGCCCAGAACGTCTTCGGAAAGTCATGTCATCGTCTCGTTAGTCTTGGACATCTCCATCGATTCGTACATGGCTTGGTACATGGGTACATAGTACAGTAGGTACAGTGTTGCATACTTACATTTTTATGCAGTTACACATGGGCATAGGCACACACACACACACACACGCGCACACACATGCATGCATGCATACATGCTCATGCACGCATATACATCTACAGTGGCATGCGTGCACATACATGAGCAGGTATGTATATATGATATATGATATATATATATATATGTATCTATATCTATATCTATGTATCGTATTCTCATACATCTTATCTGTTTGTCTTCGTGAGTGTGACATGGGCATGTATTCTGCATATGCAGACATGTGCTTGCGCATGCATGAGAGCGGGTTGCTGCGTAGGCAAAGAGGCTCGCTTCCTCAAGTCCGTTTCCCTATGTACATTCATTCATACGCCCATTTTTACATGCCCCAAACCCTAAACCCTA